AGCTAGCAGTTTAACTCTTTATGGGGTCTCCACAAGGGACAAGCTTTGGTACAGGAGTGACTGCGTTCAGAAAAGGCCGCAGCATGCCCTCCTCCCTTCGATGCTGATCGTTCTCTTAGTCTAGATGTAGTATAACAGTCAGGAGTCAAAGTAATGCTACCTAGGAGACAGTATTTATTTATTTATTTTATTTTTTTTTAATTATGTCAAGATACTTTATTTTTAAAACAGGTCACAACACTAACCTTTGGCCCATTCTGCCCCTGGACAAGCTACAAATGCTTGCTCAGCAGCTGGGTGCATTCTTTAGTAGCATGTGTGAAAAGTGAATAAAAATGTATATAAAACAAATGGAGACAGTATTTATAAATCAGTAATATCCATTTACTGCTGTTTTCATTGACATTAAGTTGCAGGAGATTTGTGTAAATAATTAAGAGTAAATGAAGTACTTAAAAATGAAAATTTACATCATTAATTTTACTCTCTATTTTAGTCCTTGCCTGACAAAGATGGAAAGAAATGTCTTTTTCTCATAAAATGTTTTGATAAGACTTTTGAAATTAGTGCCTCAGATAAGAAGAAGAAACAGGAGTGGATTCAAGGTAAGGTAACTTTTATTATTTCCCGTGATTTAACTAGAGTGCTTTTTCTAATTTTTAATTTTGTTAAAGAGGCTTTCCATTAAGTACGCTTTTCATTTTCTGTAGTAATTTCTGTATATGACAAAGTAGTTTTTAAAATAGCACCCAAATAAGATAAATTCACAAGGTTTTTAGCAGTATCATTTTAATAATAAATTTGATGATAGCTTATAAAGTGGCAATTTTAGCTTTTCACTTACTGTTACTTCTTAAAGTATTTGTTCCCATTCCCTAGAAGAGTGACCCAATAGAATGTGGAAACTGTTGGACAATATCATTAATATCACATGAAGCAAAATACTGCTAAAGATCATTCAAAAATGGCTAGAATATAATGCATGGAAGTGTAGAGGGTCAGAGAAAGAGAAGACCCTCAACAAGATGGATTGTAAAGGAGCTCTAGTGGCCTAGTGGCAAGAAACTGCACTGTAATACCAGAGGTACGCAGTTCAAATCCACCAGATGCTCTGCTGGAGAAGAAGGGCCATCTCCTCCTGTACCCGTTTGATTTGATGGTATACACACAAAACTAATAAAATTTTTAAAAAATGGCTAGAACAATACATAGATAGGGGACTGCCAGAAGTTCAAGCAGAATTTAGAATAGGCTGTGGCACCATGGATATCATTGCTGTTGTCAAATGTATCCTGGCTAAAAGTAAAGAATATCAGAAAAAATATCTATTTATGCCTTATTGACTGTGCAAAGGCATTTCACTGTGTAGATCATGACTAATTATGGCTAATATGGAGGGGGGAAAGCATGGGAATCCCAGAGGACATAATTGTGCTCATGAGAAACCTGTACCTAGACCAAGAGGCTGTGAAAAGAACAAGGGAACACTACATGGTTAAAATTAAGAAGGGAGTGCATCAGGATTGTATTCTTTGTCCACATCCTTTTTAATCTTATATGCTGAGCAAATTATTTGAAAAGTTAGACTCTTGGAAGAAAAACGTGGCATCAATTGGAGGAAGACTTATCAATAACCTGCATTATACAGATGACACAACTTCATTTGCTAAAAATGAGGAGGACTTGAGTCACTTGTTGCAGAATATCAAAGAATACAACCTTCAATATGGACTGCATTTCAGTGTCAAGAACACAAAGATTCGGGGAGCTCTGGTGGCCTAGTGGCAAGGAGCTGCAACTACAATCTCAGAAGCACACGGTTCGAATCCACCAGATACTCTGCCGGGGAAGGAGGGACAATCTCCTCCTGTACCAGTCAGATCTGATTTGATGGTACATTCACACAAAAA